CGGCAGTTTTTTTCGTTCTGTCACTCTGAGATCTCTTTGTAGCATTTTGCAGTCAGCTTTCCTTATGCTGCTTTGGAAGGTCAAGTCAGTGCAAGGACCTTCCCTCTTGTTCTCCAGCAGTAGCATTTAATAGCCTCTGCGAGGATGCATTTGGAAGGCTTTTGGAAATTCGTGTGGACAGGAACCCCTGGGGTGAGGTGCAGCAGAGGGCTCAGCGGTGCTCACCTGCACAGGGAAGCAAAGGCCGGGGCTTTTCTCCCTCTGCATCTCGCCAGGTGACTGCTTCATTGCTGGAAAACAGCAAATCCCACACTGCAGGAACTTTCTGGCTTACCTAACAGACTGGTTGGCTGTCCCAGCTTAGACATCCTGTGTTTAAATGAGCCTTCTGTCTCCTGCTACAAGGCTCAGCTTGGCTGAAATAAATCAGCCTGTCCTAAGAAGGATTTCTTACAAAATGAAGGCCTGAACTTAGATGAAGGTGGAAGGTGCACTGAGGCTTTCTGCTGTGTTTTCTCAGGTCGGGACCTGGCTTTCTGCAAGCTGTGTTCCAGCCTTTGAAAAATTGGTAAACTTCCATCGTCTAAATCCGTTCCTCCTGTTCCAGCCAATTAAACATTAAAATGAGCATGACAAATAAGTGTTCATTTATGGGTCAATAACTCCGTAGTGTGTCTGTGACATGACTGGCTGAGACAATCCATTTCGGTTCCGTCCTGGGCAAGCCGACATCTTCAAGTCTGTAATTGCTTTTATACAGAAGGAGAAGTAATAAGGATAATGTAGCCATCAGGCCTCGACTCCCGAGTTCAAAAACTTCCCCTTGCCAATCACATTTCTTCGGTATTCAGCCCAGTTTAGTCTCGTTGCAGAAGCATTATTGTGCTGTCAGGAAATACCCTAATTGATATATATGCGTTATCTCCAGCGTGGGATGTCACCTCCTTGAAGGCGCTCGGTTTTGTCCACCAGCCAAGTTACCATCCGTGAGGAGGCCCTAGTGCACGCGCCGTGGCACCAGACAGGGTTGCCTCGTCCCTCTCCTCTCCCCCCACCCATTATATCTGTATTTTCTCAGCACTATTAGATTATTAAATGCTTAATGACTATTCCATTCCTGCTAACTCTACTTTTGATGAGCTGCAGCGATAAAACTTTGGAACGGCAACGCGTGCGTCTGGTTCCTTTATAGGAAGGGCACATTTGGGGAGCTGAAGTAATGGGGGATAAAACTCAATTAATGAATAGAAATAAAAAGAAGTAAATGAGGTAATCAAACTCGGAGAAATTAGTATTGGCAGGTTCTGAATGATGCTTTTGGATGAACAATCGTTCAGAATCCTTCCTTGTATGCTGCTGCCGTCTCTTTATTTATTATTAAAATAACATGATCCATGAGGCGCTCGGGGTGACTCCCAGCCTAGCTAATTCTAATTAATCCAGTCAGGGAGAGCAGCAGGGTAAGTGGAGCAGTCTATCGGATTGAAATTCATAACTTAATTGAGGTCAAAGTCCCGGGTTGGGAGAACAAAAGTCTTTCGCTGGGACCAGGCAGATCAATAGCAATAAATATCTGGCTTGGTTACAAGTAGCTTATAGTGACGGATTATCTGACACTGGGCAGAGGTCTTGGTCTTGTTGAGGGCAAAGTCCTGTGGCATGCCCAGGGTTGGGTGACTTTCCTCAGTGCTCCCTCCAAAACCCCGAGGAACTCCTACAGGGCTCGTGGGAGCCGCAGAAGAAGGACGCCCGTAACGACGTCCACGTGAGTCGTGCCGAAATTTGGATTCGGCTTCTCAAGGTACGGGTGTCTCGGAAGTAGCACAAGGGCACGTGTCACATTAGTGCTGACGGAGGTTGGAAGAAGTTGCTCAGACTTACAGGAACTTGGAGCTAAATCACAGCGTGTCCAGAGAAAGGCCTTTAGGAGCGGGGGAGCTGAGCGGTGGATTGATGGGCTTTACGCCAAGCCTGTATTTATAGCACGTTTACATTAGATGAGAGAGGAAAGCTGGAAGAGGGCAGCGTAAATAACCACTGAGGTAGCTCTGTCGTGGTGGAGAAACCAGCAGAGGCAGGTGTGGGTTCACCTGATCTTCAGAAACGCAGACACTCTCTGCTCTGACCTCCAAAATGTTCCCTCTGCATGGGTTTGTATCTGGCTGGGACCCCCAGTCCTTACCCATGGCTCTGCGGTGTGACTTTGAGAGTCACCTGCAGCCCTGGGCCCAGGGGAAGAAGCCAGCAGGTCCTACCCTGAGCCCTGAGCACCGTACTTCTGGAGTTTTCATCAGCAGTAGCAACCTCAGGAGCTTCTCCGAGCTCGTAGCAGGTAGGTGTTTGCCTGGTGCTCGATATCGAGATGCTATCTTCACCCGGGCCGGTTGTTATTAATGCAGTATTTATGCAGATTCAACTGTTCTGCTCGTATCCTCTGTAGAGGACAAATCCTGCTGTGGTCAGCATTTGATCCGTCTCTGATGGATGTTGTTCTGCCAATGTACTTCAACACCGCTTGGAAGTGAGATGGAAACCGCAGCTCGGATGCAGCCAGGGGCTCTTTGATGTTCCCCCTCCTCCCTGTGAGCGCTGCATCAGCCTAAAGCATCTCTTAGTGTCCCACTTGCCAAAAACGTTCAAAAGGTCTCTACCCCTCTGCTCTAGGTGAGATATCTTGGCTGATCAGCTTGCAGGCTTACCTTGATGGTATTTTGGTGTTCATAAGTGGTAGGTGCACCCTCACACCTTCCTGAAACTGCCTCCGGAAAACACCTCTTGTTTTCCACTGCAGGACATTAGCTTCAAATGCACAAATGGACAGAGCGCAGCGAACAAGGCAGCTGTTCAGTGCGTGTGTATAACTGCTGTTGAGGTTTCCTCACTGCCTCATAGCACCTCAGCCTCCTCTCTAGGTCGGTGCTGTCCCTCTCCAAACTGCTGCTGCCCTGGTGATGCTACCCCGTTCCTTCCCAGCATAGACCAGGGCAAAACAAAGCTCCTGAGGCTATTAAAAACTTTATAAATGGCAGAAATCAGTAACAAAACTGCATTGGCAGCTGTCGTTTTCCCTGTTATAGTGAAGGGGGAGATAGTTTGCTGCTTGTCATTGGCAGTTGTGCATGTTATTAAAAAAAAGTAGCGCTGGATGTCCCAGCCTGCAGCACCCCTGGTGATTGAGCGAGGAAGTTCCCCTCGTGGTTTATTAAGAATTGAGTTCAGGTTTCTAATTCTCCAGTTTTGCTACAAAATCCTGCGTGACCTTGAACAAGTCACTTGATTTCTTTCTGTCTTGGTTTCCCATTTGGGAAATGCTGGGGCAAATAATTGTTTTTTATCTCATGGATATAACAAGATTATAAAAATATGGTAGTTCTAAGACCCTGAGAAAACCGATCAAATGAAATTAAACAGATCTTGCAGCCCAGACAAAATGAGATGAAACAAGCATGGAACTATTAGGGAAAGAAATGTTTCTTTATCTTCCACAAATAAAAATGCAAAGTGATTAAGTGGGTCTTTTCTCGCTATTAGCAATAACAGCTCTAGCCAGCTGACTTTTGCCACCCTTGAAAATTAATTTGCGGGGTACAGTCCTGAATTTAGTGTGCTTACAATAAATACCCCTAAAAATGTTGTCACCTCCTGCAGTGCAGGGTGTAACTGCTGTGATAGTACTGCAATTACTTGCCCTGCGAATAAAAAGTGGCTGCTCTAAATGAGATGCTCTAACACGATGGTTTGCAAATTTCTTTTAATTGATTTTTTTTCCCCTACGATATTTCCTTCCTTAGTTATACATATATTTTTATATGTATTTTATATATATAATTATTTTTATTTTTATCCAGGCTGGTTTCAGAGGTCTGATTCACAGCATGTATGCATCCCAGCCAGTTCCAGGTGAGCAGTGGCAGGGCGATGGACCAGGTGGCTGGAGGTGGCCTTATCCCCAGCAGCTTCTCCTCCTGCCATGCAGCTACACACCAGAGATCACCGCACGTCCCTGCTGCTGGGAGAGGCTGGGCACGTTCCCGTACGAGCTTGGTGTGTGCAGGAGATGATGGAGAGGAGGAAAGCCCCAGCTCTGGAGCCATTTTCCTTCCCCGGCTCGGTGAACAGATGAGAAATGTCACCCTTTCAGCAGGGCCCTCAAAACGAGGTAGTGATTAATGAACAAAACGGGGTAGGGTAGGGAAGGAGCTGCGAGTGGCTGACTTTCTGCAGCACGGAGGGAAGATGAGAAGCGTTTCAGAAAGCACTAGGCTGCAGTGTGCTACAGAAAAAGCCTGGTAGGTGCTTGGGCAGCCGGGGGCAGGGACACCTGTCTGTAGGAAATTTCATTTTACTCTTTTTTTTCCTTTTTAACTTCCTTTTTTTCTTTTTAACTTCAAGTTTTAATCACAGTCACACCGTGCAAATGACATCTGAGTCTGAAGCCAGATCCGCAGAAGCTGCCCGCTTGCCTTCTCCGCGATGCCCTATTCCCGATGCTATTGTCAGGGTATTTCCGAGCGATGCTCACAGATTACACGGCAATTTGGCTTCCGAAGTGGTGTGAAATTGAGCATTGCAGTCTAAATTCCACTGGTCAAACCCAGAAGAGGTTTGTAAAGTTATGGCTCAGCAATTGCAGGTGATCGATTTTTCATAGCTTGATAACCGAGCGCTCGGGTTTTGTACGACAGGAGGTGATCGCGGGCACCCTCACCTCCAGTCCTAATTGCAAAGTAACGAGGTTAATGCGGACCGTGAAGGCAGTTTCGATCTGGATATTTCACAGCAGCAGAAAAACTCAGAGCTCTGGTGACTTCTGCTCATCAATTTTTCTTCTCGGATGGAAAAGTGAAGCGTGGAGGTGGTCAGCTTGCAATCATCAGCTGGTAGGAAGCAGCTTGCTAAGCCACAGGAGCCCAGCGGCTTGGGAAGAAGTCTCAAACTGAAGAAGATGCAGACTGGAGTGTACCACGGGAAGCATTCATTTTGACCTGTTTTAGATTATCTTTTTTTTTTTTCCCCTTTTTGCCAGGTGTTCCTCTTGTGCACGGGTAAATTACGACACGAAACAGCTCTCTGAATTTACCTAGGAACAACTACACAGTCAGAAACTCTTAGATTTTATTTTGTCAGGCGGAAAAAGGAAAGCACAACTTGAATCGAAACGAAAAACTTATCTTGCTTTTAAAATATTTACAAAAAAAGGCAAGTTTTCACTGCTGTGCCCAGTTCCTCTACGTCTGCATGTGAGCAGGGCACACCGGTAGAGCAGCACATGGAGAGCGACGGGCTCGGTGTTGCCCTGAGCTCTTCTAGCTGATTTTTATGGCTGAAGCTGGCATGAATGCCACTTGAGGCATCAGGCGAGAAGCAAAGGCTGTCCCTTTCCCCAGAAGCTCTTCTTGGCATCAGGTGCAGAGCGACAGGTAGTGCAAATGGAAAGGCTGAGGGAATGGAAATAAGGGAGAACAAACCAGAGACCAGCACAGAAATAGGAATTGTGGTTCAGCATTTCCCCAGGCGGTGACACGGAGGGGCACGGCGGAGGTACTCTGCCTCCGGGGATTTAGAAGATGGCAAGGGGTCATTCCCGAGGACTTCTGATGAAGGACAAACACGTGAATCCCCTACTGAAATCAATGGGGCTTTTATCCGCATGCATCTTGGGGCTGAACGTGTCCCTTTCTGCAACCAGATCGGTTAAAAAAAAAAAAAATAAACCTACAAGTGTGGCTTTCTGTCATGTCCATTGGGAGATAAATTCAGTGACGGGGAAGAAATGGGAGACTTTTCATAGAGGGAAAGAGAAAATTGATTAATTTGCATAGGAATGTATCACAGCTGTACCCCATGCAGGAAACGGTCCCTCTCGGGACAGGGTGGTTTGAAACCAGCCAGCCGGCTGCAGAATTAAGTCTGATCTCAGCAGAGAGTGGCACTGATGGTGGCACCGCGTTCCTGGAGGGACGGTGCCCTGCTGCTGACAGCACCTGGTGCTATCTCCGGGGTGTCATCTTCCATTCACACGCCGGAGTGTGCTGCTTCCAACCTGCGGATGCCGCAGCGATATTCCCCAGCTGGGGAATTGCCATCTAGATCTGCCAACTGCAACCTGTTTTATCTGATGTATCCGCTTGTTAGCTCCTACATCATCAAATAGCATAGAAACATCCAACTCGGTGCTTCTCAATCATTTTATCCTTGAGACCTTTATTTTGTAGCTGGTGCTGTGTTTCCGCGAGTTGGTTGTGTTTGTATCCTGTGAATCTGGAGCTGTAGCTAGTCAAGGATGGTCCAGGAGGTGAGCAAGTACCTGTAAGATAGCCATGGATGGTCCAGGAGGTGAGCAGATACCTGTAAGGTTGTGTCCTGGGTGCCCAGTGTGCTTTTAGCAACACTCTTCCAGCAGATCAGTGGTTCCTTTATCGAGATTGCTTTCAAGGCACTAGGCGAGAACGATTTCTGCAGCTCTGGAGAAGCAACAAGGTAGATTAAAAAAAAAAAAAAAGGAGAAATTTGCTATGTTTTGGTCATGAAACAAATTTTCTGCAAAATGGGAGTTCTGGTTATTGCTGCTGCCCTGGTTATAGCGCTGGGGAGCAGCAAGGTGCGGCGTTGCCCTCCCTCGTGCACACCGGTACCTGGAAAAAAGAGAGAGTAAGGCGGTAATTCTTTAATCTTGAGCACTGAGGGTTCGTTTTGCTGCAAAAAAAAATCCTAAGTGTTTTAGAGCAAGATTCAAACAGCCTCAAAAAGGCATCAGTTAAACCTGCCCGCGCTGTGATCGCCAACGAGCGGATCTTTCAGCTGGCGGCGCGTTCCCTGGGGGTTCACATTATTAATATCTGCCTTATGACAAGGTGCCTGTGCTGATGCCAGGTTTTTTTCCCAGGCAGCATGATTAATTTTTTTTCCCCTTTCTTAATATCTCAGAGCCAGATGCTTCTCAATGTCCTCACAGGGGTGTATTGCTGTTCTTAAGCGCTCCTCCTTCTCCCCCACCCCTTTGCAACTAATTCATATAATGGCCCCGGAGATGTGTTTTGTAGAGCCACAAAAAAAAAAGCAAAACTTTGAAAGCATCCCGAGATGATGGACTTGACATGTGCAAATCTGTCCTCCTGACGTTCCTGGTGGGTTTGCCGTTTCGGGGCGTGCTTCTTTGCCTAGCACTTTGCAAATTGTGTACACGCAGAAGTGCTGAAGGCAGATATTCTGCTGGGGAGAATGAGCGGCAGCGGGGTGTTGAGCTGGCATCTTGGAGAGAGCAAAGGAAGGCTTGGCTGAGGAAGAGGAGCACGTGGTAGCTCTAGGAAGCGCCCTGGGTCTTCAAGCATTGGTTAATTTAAAGACTTCAAGACTTTGCAGTACTAAAAAAGGTCTTTATTGTGTAAAAAGAGAAGAAATTAATTCTCTGCTGGAATTCTTGTGCAAAAGTGCAGCTGCACAGGCTTGGGTTTTTCCAGCCTGGAAGTCAGACGACCTTCCTTAGCCAGCTGTGCAGGAGTGGTTTGTCCAAGAAGCTCCTCCTTCTGCCATGTCCATCCAGCAGTTTCCTCCGGGTAAGGGATTCCCACAACTCCTGCATTGATCCTCGCCTGCTTTGAGACATTCCTGCACTCACCTGGACTTCAGGGAAGGTTTCCTGGGGGAAGCAATGCCCCAAATCCCAGAAACAGAATAGTTAATGGTGGATAGGTTAAGAGACAGATAAAATTTGCCAGTGCAAGCAGGAGAATTGAGTCCTTCCTCTCGGTCCCCTTAGTTTTGGTGCAAGAGGAGGCTGGCAGGAGGGCAGCAGGACATTGGGAGCACTCCCTCCCGCAGCAGGTCACCTCGCTGTGTGTCTGGCACCGGCAGGCAGAATGGGAATTAAGTCAAAATTAACCTCAGTTGGGAAACCCCCTAGCCCCGCTTTATTTGGCCATTTAATTGAATTAACGATGCCGTGTAAGCGTGCTGACCCCCAGATGTAAATTGCTCCTCCCTCCCCATTTCCCTCCTTCATTCCCTCACGCTAACAGAGCCAGTGGGGATGTGACTGCAGAGAGAGGGAGAAAAAGAGGGAAAAAGGCTGGAAATAAAAGGAAAAAAACTCCAGCCTCGTGCCAACCTTCCCCTTCAGTGTCACAGCTGCGCTCACCGTGCTGTGATCTTTGGTGCCGCTAAGCTGATTGCGCCCGCTGAGGGGTTCAGCCACCTAATCCCATGGTGCTGCAACTGGTTGCTTTCTATTTAAGCACAATTTGTATTTTTTTTCCCGGAGAACTAAAAGTCAGTTTGGCTTCAGTGGACTCTCGAAGTGGGTCAGGCTGTTACGGGGACCCACTTTTTGACGTTTGCTCGGTTAATACAGGAAAATAGGACGCATTAGTGGGCTCCGCGTCCTAATGGATGCTCTCGGGCTGGGAGAGGTCTGTGCATGCATTAGGGCTCACGGCGTCTGGCGTGGTTTGGGAGGGATGGATTCAGGAGGGATGGATTTGGGAGGGATGGATTCAGGAGGTGCTGTGCTGCCACTTGGATGCCGCAGAAATTTTGGTTTTGCTTGCATGGACAAGCCACGCCGCCACCGGCTGTGCGTCTAAAAGGGGCTCTAATGGGAGATGCCAATAGGTTCGATTGATTTCATTAATTTAATAGTCAATTTAAATCCAGTTCTCAGTTATTTTTCCAAGGAAGGGTTGATTCCCATTTGTTAACAACTATTAAAACATGTTCATTTGCAACTAGATGTAGCCTTCATGGTAAATTCAGTTCTCTTGCTAACCAGATACACAACATCTGTGCGTGTTTATTTAATTTAACTTAGAGTAGTTTAACCTACTTCATTCACACTCTTAATTTTTAGGTGCATGTGAATTGAAGTTAGAATTTCATTGAAAAGCCTTTTCACTTTTCAAATTCTCCTTAAAAATAAATTGAAATCTCACCAGAAGTGTGGCGATGGGGCTTGGTTTTGGAAGGGGGAAAATAAACAGAATTGTATTTGTGTTTGTGAATGGCACATTTAGCAAAAGGAGATGTTTACTACCAGAATGTGTCAGAAACCCTTCCTGCCCAAGTTTTGTTAACAAAATCAAGGATTTTAGGAGCAAAATGAAGGAGTGACTGAAGATTAGCTTAGGTTTCACCTCTTCTCTTAACCATTCTTAAGACGTAGTAGGTCCATTGCCTCCTACTTCATTTTTATCCAGAAATAGTCCAAAGCTGGTCTAATACCTCAAAAGAGTTGTTACAGGAGTTTATCGCGTGACTTACCTGGTGATTTTCTTCAGATAGCAGGCATCAGATGCATGCTGCTTGAAAACATACGTCCTTTTCCATTAACTGCAGTGATTTTATGGGATTGTATTCTGCTTGAGCCATCACTTAGGATAACCTGATTTCAAATATATTGTTGAAGTATTTTTATTTTAGCAGAAAAAAATAATTTTATGCCTTTCAAGCACTAAACAATGTTAGTTTTATTTGGTAGAAGGTTCTTAAAAAAATGTTTTTTTCATGATTCCAAGTACAACTTTTCTTATAAACTCTAAAGCCCCATTAAAACTGGTAGAACACATTGTTTAAATTTCTTCTTGTCATTAAGGCTTACTTGTTTAACTGGACAAAATCTGTAAGGCTGCTCAATAAAAGTGGGACAAGACTGAAGGTAACACAGGAGGTGTGCATAAGGATGCTAACCCACTTGTGGGGGTCTAGCTGGCAGCTGGGACAGTTCCAGTTCACACCTTGTGCTTTTCAGGTTTGGGCTCTTGCTTATTTTTGTCTCCCCAGATTACCGAACGAAGGCGAGATTCTCACTAATGGAGGCTTACGCGTGGGCAGATCTTATTAGGAGAGGGAAGACCTAGCGTGGAAAAGGACAGCACGTCCTGCTAGTCAGAGCGTGGGGAGCTCAGCATCCTGAAACTAATCCTGGCTGTGGGCTGTGCTCCTTGTTTGACCTTGAGTAAATCAGACAGCCAGGTTTTTTCTTCTGCGTGTGTCTCGGTTTCTGTAACTGTAACACGGGAGCATTATGTGCGTATATCCCTGGGTCTTGCCTGGATTAATAAATCAATATTTGTAAAGTAAGCCTCGATAAATGCTAACTGTATTAATACGTGTGCTCCAACCTTGCACAGAAGTTTGGGAACACGCCTGCATTGCTGCTGTGCAAGTGCATCAGGGGCTCTCAGCCAGGGGTGGTCGGCTGGGAGAGACCACTTTGGGTTGTGCTGGTCCCCCCAGGGGACCGCCTGTAGCACAGATCTGCCAGGAGGTCTTGAATACAACTTTTCCACTTAACATGCTCCCCCATCACCCACTGTCAGCAATGAGATTAAATTCTGTGCGACTGCAGAGGACGTTGCATGATTAAAATCCTCTTTTAGAAATTAATATGTACCATCGCTCTGGAGCACGGTGCCTCTTCTCCGAGAAGGGTATTGTCTCCTGAGCACTCAAGGTGGGAAAAGCCACCAAGTGAAGCTGTCTATCTTGGAATTTTATGCTGCTGCACAGTTGCTCTGCTGACAGCTACCCCTGCATGAAATCACAGGGACCTGGGGACTTCTCCCTTCCCAGGGTCACGGTGATGTGGGGCACGGTTTGCAGGATAATGAAAGGAGAGTTTCAAACTTCTAGGTCCTATCAAGAAAGGGAAGGATTTCCTGAAGGAGAGGGATGATCCAAATCCACAGCAACCCATTCTCCATAGCAATTCTTTTCCACATCTGGGTATCCTGAGCAAAATCCCCTTGCCCCCAAGCGTGGCATAGCAATTCCTTACCTTGCTGCCCACATCAGCCCAAAGAAATCAGCAATCGGCATGTTTGCACATCCAAATTCAGCCTTCAGACACTGGCACGGCCACAGAGGTGCCTTGTACACCAGCTTCATGTGCTCTCACCAAGCAGGGCTGCTCGTTTGGTCCAACCTGAAGCTCCCCAGTTGCCATTTCCATCCTGCTCCAGGTGCTGGGAGGCTGCATGGCGTAACTGGGAGGCACAGCAGGGTAAGTTATCCTGGGTGGGTTAACAGGTTTCTGGAGGAGCTTTTTTACAAGATAAAGGATATTTTGGATATTTGGATACCCATGCTGAACACAGCCTGTGGGCTTTGAGAAACAGGGCTCAGCAGCCTCCCTTTTCGCACGCACATCCCTAGTGCTACACAAAGCAGCCAACAAGAAAAAGTCCCCCAGGTGTTCCCTGTTAATATACACGGGGAAAGTGATTGCTGCCTATTTAAATCCTGCACTGAGGGTGGCTCATCCTTCTGTGAGGCTTCAGGTGCTGTTGGTGGGGGTAAGCATGTTTGCTGCTCTGAATTACTTATTGAGAAACTGCTTATGTTGCCAGCCCATGCTTTGGGGTTGGTGTCCACAGGGTGGGTTCCTGTGCTTGTGGCCAACATCACACCTTGCTGGCAGGGCTAGGGAGTGAAAATAGCAGCTCTGTCTGTTGTACAGCCTGAGGGTTTGGGGTTAGAGCAGGCTTGGGTGATGTTCCTAGGCTTGTGCAGGGCTGCAGAGGATTGATTCAGGTCACTGTTTGTGGGTGAAAGTCAGTGAGGATTTAGATTCCTTATCTTTCCTTTACAATATCCAAAGAATACTTGAAAATTGTTCATTGGGAAAGGGAGGGGAAGATTTATTTTCTTTAAAAACAGAAATCCTGGGTTTTATCTGTTAATTTTTTTTCCTAATGTAGCTGTGGAAGTGTATAAAAGTGTGTATTTCTGAGGGGAGAAATCTGATTTAGGGGAATGATTTTTCATCTGAGAGCGTATATAAAGCTGTGCCTTTATTTGCTGTTAATGTTTGCCTGGTATTTGAGTCTAAAATGAGCTTGTTAAAATACTCTGCCCTCGCTGCCTTCAGTGGGTGGCAGGCAGCACTTCCACTCCCATGGCCCAGGCTTCCCAAGAATTGGAATCATGATTTCTCCTGTGAAATAAGGCTTTGCTGAGTTAGTCTTTCATGGCTATTTCTAATCCAAAAATTACCCAAAAATCTTCTGAGCATCTAGAAGAAGTCTTTAAACAACATAAAGGCTGCAAACCTTTTTTTTAAATTCCCATCAATAAAAGCAAGTTTTTTAAATAGTGATTTTTTTCTGGACTTTGTTTTCTCTGCCAGCTTCCCACTGTGCTTGGTTCTCCTGTTCCCCAAGTTAAGCAGGAGCCCACACAGGGTTCTGGGGGTTTGCTCAGGACCCTTGCTGTAGGAGGTTTCTTGTATTTTTACAGCCTGAGCATCTCTCACCTTTCTAACTTGCTCCAGGAGGGCCCTACCTTCCTGCTCGTGGCTGTGCAGGAGCAGTGGGATTTAAAAGGAGTTTGTGTTCCTTCCCTTCCCATAGTCCTGTGGTGTTTTTAATATTAATTCAGAGTGTTTTAGAGCAACAGCTGTCTTTAGAAACGTACACACTGGCTGATTCAGGTATACAGGCTGTGGGCTCCAGAATAAAATCGTGCAGATGTCTGTGGGGTGGGCACGCGTCCAGCACATCCCATCCAGGCTGGAGATGCACCTTTGGTGTTGTGCCTGTGGAGCATCCCGTTATCCTCACCTGTGGAGCATCCCATTATCCTCACCTGTGCACTTCTGATCGTTCCTCTTTGGTTCTGAAACGATGCTTTGCAGTTAGGTATAATTCAGGCATGTGTGGCTGCAGGTTTTGCTGTACCCACCGCCGCCCCCAGACCACGCGGGTGTCTCAGGAGCGCCAGGCTGCTGCCCACCAGCTCCTCCAGCTCCTAGCTCAGCCCCTGCTGTGGAGGCACACACAGGTGGGGACACCAAGGCACAGAGCTATTGGGGTGCAGCCACTGGTCACAGCAGAGCCTTTTGCCCTTTCCATCACAGGCTCATGGCTCCCAGCAGCTCAGTCCTGGTTTTCTATCAGAAAACCGAGAATCGGGGAATTCAGAAAAATGCCAACAGAGCAGGCACACGGTTTCCAAACTCTGCCTTTCTGCGGCTGTTAGCGGGAGGGTTGATTTGGGTCAAAACGAAGGCAAACGCTCCTTTCAGACCACTTCACGTTTGGTTTATGGACCTGTTAAGGCAGCGGGATAATCCCTTTAGCTCACCCGTGTAATTCCTAGTGAATATTTATTTTAAAGTGACTTCTGTGCCCTCCCTCATTAGCGGAGCTTGGTAATGCATCTCCCAGCTGCCGGGCAGTGGCTGACAGCGGGAGGCTCTCTCCTTTTGTCTCCTTGCGGGGTTTTTAAACCAACTCTTGCTGGTTTAACCCCTCCAGCTCACCTCTAACCATGGGGAAGAGGGTCCTGAGCCTGGGCTGGGCTGCAGGTGCTGGGCACCAGCCCTGCTGGGGGAGGACGGAGCTGGCAGTGGGTTCAAGGACGCGCTCCTGCGTTAATGTGCGCAGACATGCTCCCTCTCCCGCGCTGATTGGCAAGGTTAACCCGGGGAGGCTGCAGCTTTTTCAGCTGATTTGATTAGACCCACTGCTTTATCCCATTTCCCCCACCCCCTCGGCCCAGCACCTCCTGATCCTTTTAGCGCAGCCCTTGCTCCGCTGAGCAGCCCTTCGGATCTCACCCCCTTCCACCACCACCACCACCACCGTCCTTTTTCTGATTTTCCTGCAGAATTTTGACGTGAAGCAGATGATGCAGCCCTAAAGGGAAGAGCAGGCAGCGGGGTCTCAGTCTCAGGGGTGTGTTATCGTTACTCATCAAGGGGCTGCCTCCTCTTCATCACTCCCCCAGCTCTGTCTGCTCCCAGTGTGCCTGTGTGAGTTTGGGGAGCAGAGGGTGAGGCTGACGTGACCCCAGCAGGATGCCCATCACCCTCCAGTTCCTTCTCTGCCTCCAAAACTGGGGGCAGGAAGGAATTACATAGACAGGACCAGCTGCTGGTCCCTCGGTCCCTGCAGCCCAGAGGCTGCTTGAAGTCTCGGCTCCGATGCTTCGATGTGGGTTCCTTCATCCCACAGATGCAGCCTGGTCCCAAAGCCACGCAAACCGCATCACGTTTTAGCAGCAGTACCCCCGATTTTTCTGGGCAGAGGTGGCTGTGGTCCCTTGGGAGCAGCACCAGTGCCAGGCCCCAGGGCTGCCAGATCCTCCTTGGTGTTTCTCTTACACCGCGGAGGCGAGCGCTTTGTGTGCCTCGGGTTGTCAGTTCTGGGCTCCATCCCTTGTATTAAGCTGATGCCTGTCATATTAAATACTCCAGGGGAATTGGGAGCCTTGTGTCAGCGTGCCTAAGTGCCTCTTGCCAAGTCTCTTTAGTCCTCATAAATAAATAAGTGAAGCCCATAAATTACAGGCGCTCACAAAACCGAGAGCGCCCAAACTCCCAGATGGAAATTACCGGGGAGAGACCGGCACTGCTGCATTTTTGGGAACCCTACACTGACCTAGGGGAAGGTCCAGCAGGGCTGTTTGTCACACCTTCATGGCCAGAACCGACCTAAATCGGTTTGGTTTGAGGAGCTCAGCCCAAACAGGGGCTGGATCCGGCGAACAGGACCGACCCCACAGCCTCGCCCTGGGGAAGCAGACAATCCCCCGCACACGATGTATTAAACCTTGACACACTGCATTACTTAAGAGGTCTCGGGGAAAATTAAAACCCTTTCGACTGGGTTTTGCAATGCAGGGGAAATTTTAGTGACATTTAAAAGGTTTCTCTTGTGTTCCTCTAATGGGATAAATAAAAAAAGGCTTGTTTTAGGCCAGCAAATGGGGGGACAATCCAATTTCCCTGATTCCATCAAGACACTCTTAAAGCATTAGCTCGTGCAGTTTTTAAAAAAAAACACACGACAGGCTGACCCCTCTGCCTGATGGCTTTGGGAAGTGTCCTGATGCTGAGGTGCCCGTCCCACCCCGTGTGAGTGCTCAGAGCAGCGCTCCCCGATCCGCTCCCCTGCCCTTAACCTGTGCCGGAGGGGGCACGGCCACCACCTCCTTACTCCCCGCAGCCATCCACACCGCTCTGCAGGGGCCGTGCTCCTTCAATTCAGTTCTTTGGCTCTCGGGAGGGGACAAAAAAGAAAAAATAGTGTTAACCGGTAACGTTTCTGATGAGGGAATGAAATCTTTGCGTTTTTTTTTTTTAAGCGGTGTTTTGGCTCAAAATAAATACAGACCCCCCCGTGGAAGGCTGTATTTGCAGCTCGGGATGATTCATGTGTCAATGCTTACATTTGGGGGGCTCTGGGGGTGGATAACGGGAGGTACGGAGCCGTTCACCTCGGGGTCACCGCTTCAGCTCTGCCCCGGCTCGGTGGCCACCACGGGCGGGTGCCATCTGCTCCCCAGCAGCCCACCCCGTGCACTGGGCTGGTCCCAGCTCTGCGCACTGGGGCAGATGTCGGGGTCCCAGCAGGCTCCCAGCGGCTTTTTCCAGGCCACCGAGCTCAGCCCTCGCCGTGACTTCAGCCCCAGCCTTCGGCTCGGCCCGGGTGGCTCAGGGGGACCTTGACCTCCTGCCGTGCTCACACGCCCCGTGAGCGGCCAGCCTGTTATCCCTGCCACGGCTGGGGGTTGCCTTCAAAAAGCGGGGCATCCCCGGCCATAAATCTGGCTGTCGCAAAGCCGGCCGTGGTTTCCCCTGCGCGCCTCCTGGTCCTGCTGAATTGCATTAGGATCGCCGCTGTCGCGCTCTGAAAGAGCCCTTTAAAGCCAAGAGCAGTTCTGCATCTCGCTAAATAAGTGATGACAAACCAAACTGCCCGTATTTAGTCTGGCTGTATCTTAATGGCGCTGTGGTTCCTCCGAGAAATCCCGGTTACTGACAGTGTGATGACCCCAGGCACTTTTCCCCAGATGTTTTTCCTATCTTTTTTTTTTTTTTGCCTTCCGTATTGGCACTCGATTAAAAGCTGGTTGGAAAGCCGACTGTCTGCGGGTGAGCAGCACTAATAAACCTTTATCCTCCCAATTTCTCTGCTCTTCCAGCAGGAAACGGTCCCAAAGATCGTAAACCGGGAGGGGAGTTTTCGGAGCGCAGCGCGGAGCTGTGCTGGATGATAAAACGAAGGAGCAGCTTCGTGCACAAAGGGCCTTATAAAATAAAATAAAAAAATGATAAATTAGCTACTGACACAGCTCACAGAGGCTGTGAAAAGGCCTTTAGATATCACAGCCCTTGGAGGTCAAGAGGCAGGAGCCTCTTACGTCGACTCCGGCCGCAGTGTCTCCCTGGCAGAGCTCCACTTGGGGCAGGATCCAGGCTCTGATGCCTTCCCCCTCTGGCAGACGGCTGCGAGTGCCGAACGCCCTCTCTAATTCCAGATTAGCCACAGAGAGCAGCCGTCGGGCTTAAGGAGCGGGCGTGCTCGGGAGGAAGGGCTTGTCTGGAGGCTGCGGGGCACGGCGCTGTCCTGAGGAGCTTTGGGGTGGCTGGGACAGGTCCCTGGTACCACGTTTGCTCTAAAGGAGCGGAAAAAAAAATGCCTGTTGGGCTGGAGGCCACTGTAATTTGGTTGCCCACTTACCCCAGTCTTCCCCAGGGCATAGTTTAGTAAAATCCAGAGCTCGTTTAGTGGGGTTTTATAACGCCAAACCCATGGTTCAGACCATCCGAACGCGGTAAGTTTTGATTTTGCACAGCAAGATGGAGAAGGTTTATGAGACCAAAACAGAGTCTCCAGATTCTTTATCCTCACCAGATTAAAAGAAAAAAAAAAAAGGAGCTGAGATATCCCTTAGAC